CCAGTCAGCGCTCTCTACCTTTCCAAGATATGATCTTCCTGCCAGTTCAAGAAGCCCGCGGTACCCCTCTACAGTGTGCGAACAAAGGGATGAAGCTGGGTGGCCAAGCATCAGAAGGTTTGCAGAAGAGTCTGCCTTCTCTCTGGTGGTGGATATTTGGGTTCTATCAATGATCCCTCTGTATTCTGTGTCTGAGTGAAATGAACAATCTTAACTTTAAGATGTATCCACATCCATGGTAATTGTGCAATTTTCCCCCCTATTATTTTAGCAAGCTAATTGGATGAAGGGGTGAAACCTGAATACAAATTCTCACTGTGTTATTTCCCAGGTACTTAGCTTGAAAGGGGTTTAAACTTGGTATTTATATGGTGTTTCAGAAAGTACTATCTTATCTCTGAAAGAAATGTCACAACTGAGATGAGACTTTGTGATTTTCAAAAATTTAAGTTGAGGGACGCCTGGGTGGCTCAGTGGGTTAAGCCGCTGCCTTCGGCTCGGGTCATGATCCCAGCGTCCTGGGATCGAGTCCCACATCGGGCTCCTTGCTCAGCGGGGAGCCTGCTTCTCCCTCTGCCTCTGCCTGCCACTCTATCTGCTTGTGCTCACTCTCGCTCTCTCTCTCTCTCTCTCTCTGATAAGTAAATAAAATCTTTAAAAAAAAAAAAAATTTAAGTTGAATGAAATCCAGACTTTTTAGTTTAGTTGTTGACATAGACTTATTACAAGGTAAGTAGCGGGAATCTTTTTTTTTTTTTTAAGATTTTATTTATTTATTGGACAGAGAGAGAGATCACAAGTAGGCAGAGAGGCAGGCAGAGAGAGAGGAAGGGAAGCAGGCTCCCCACCGAGCAGAGAGCCCGACTTGGGGCTTGATCCCAGGACCCTGGAACCATGACCCGAGATGTAGGCAGAGGCTTTAACCCACTGAGTCACCCAGGCACCGCACAGGAATCTTTTAAAAAGATGTTTATAGTGATGCCTGGGTGCCTTAGTCAGTTAAGTGTCTGCCTTTGGCTCAGGTCATGATCCCGGCTCCCAGCACGGACCATGTTAGGATCCTTGCTCAGCAGGGAACCTGCTTCTCCCTCTCCCTCTCCCTCTGCCTGCTGCTTGCCCTGCTTGTGCTCTCTCTTTCTCTGTATTAAATAAATAAAAGAAAGTCTAAAAAAATGCTTATAAAAATTCTTTCCAGCTCAAACTATGTGATTTTGTGTTCTTAGTGATAAAACAGAGTTGTGTAGATTTTGACCAGGATTTAAGAATGATTTTTTTTTTTTTTCCCTTGAGGCAGCAGATGGTAGAGGGAACATCATGTTCATTTACACGGACTTTGGAGCAATACAGCTTGGGTTTGAATCTTGGTTCCACTACTACTAACTGTTATGACCGTGGCAAATTACTAACCTCACTTTGTCTCAGTTTTCCCATCCACAAAATGGGTTTAGGTTATTGTAAAGAGCAAATAAGTTAAAATAGGTAAAGTTCTAGAATAGTGCCTGCACATGGTACGTGCTGTATATGGAATTGCTTTTATCATTGTAATCGTGCCACTAGAGACTTATGTTGCTACTGAGTGGTTTTTAGGGAGGGATGGCAAGTTTCATTTTTAAATGGAGAATTCCCTGAAGTCCTTGGGGAATGAGGCTTAGAATAGCACGTGCAGTTTTTATTTATAATCCCACGAGGGGCAATAGGCCGGTTATACCGCAGGCTGCTGTATGTATTCACCCACTCCCACATGGGCTGACTGCTGGTCTCTTCTCACAAAGGAGGCAACCTCCTGGCAGATTTCAGGGTGGAAGTGGCAGAGCACCCTCACCTCACTCCGAAAAGTAAACTAAATATGGCTCTAGTGCCCTCACCCGATAGTGTTTGATGATATGCACTTGGGCTAAAAACACAGGTTCAATGTTCAAGTCCCATTTTGTTACTTTGCTAATGTTGTTGCTGAGGGCAATCTACTTAGCTTTCTGTGCCTCTGTTTTCCATCTCTGTGATGGGACTAATAATGATCCTTACTGCATGGTGTTGCTGCGAGGATTAAATGAGATAATATATGCGAAGTCCCAAGAAGGTATCTGGAATGTTTAGTGAAATGGAAATCTTTCTTCTGTGGATGATCAGTGACTCACTGGGGGAAAACAAACAAACAAACAAAAAAAAAAAAGCAAAACAACAACAACAAAAATCCCCACCTCTCAGGGATCCTATAATGGTAAATTGATGAATTCTAAAAAATTAGTGAATTCCAACTATTGATTTTATAGATTAGGAAATATCCAGTCACTTGATTTGAGATTGATAACTATGACTACTTACATTTTAAAATCTGACCTAGTAATATAAATGGAATGGAATCTTACACTTAGAACTCCAATAAATGCTTCATCCCCCATGCTTATATCCCTCTAATTCCTTCCCAGGTGCTCAGCTGGTCCTGTGTTTTAATGGTGAAGGGAGTTTAATTTTGCTCCATTGGCCCCTGGATCTCTCCCTTACGTGATGGTCTGTCTTACAACAGGTGCTTTGCACAGCATATTGGGACATGGGAAGACAGCCTCTTGTGATGGTTTTCTGTTGGGGTGGTTTTTTAGGATTAGTGGGATATCTCATGTCTTCTAACAATTGGCTTTTCAGGTCTTACTGGTGCTGGTCACAGCCAACACAACTGAGTGAGCTGACAGTGATGTACTCTTGTATTCTTACATCAGCTGCTCCATAAAAGAGAAAAACAGATCCAGTATTGACGTTTGTTGGGTAGGAAGTTTGGAGTCAGAAAACTTAGATCTAGAGAAGACCTGGGAAATGATCCAGACATTAGAAATGATCCGCACAGGTTAAGAGATTTGACCGCAGGGGCTGAGCTAGTTGATGTGAGCATTCAGAATTCAGAAGGATTCTTTCTAGTGCCTCTCTCTGGCTCTTCAGAATAATAATTAGAAACATGGCCTCTCGAGACAGCTACCTTGATTCAAAACTCAGTTCTACCCTTTATTGGGAGTATGATCTTCAACCAGTTGTAGACTTTTCTTTCTCTTGATTTTCTCACTTGGAAAATGAGAACGATAATGAGTGTTTAATGTGGGTTAAATGACATAATATGTGTAAGGCACTTAGGACAGTTTCTGGCACATAAAAAAGCAAAAAGTATTTATTATTATTACTAATCTTCTAAACAAACTCAGGAATATCAACTCTTAAATAAGACAGAAAATAGATATTTTGACCAGGCTGGTATTTAACGTATTTTCTCTCACTTTAAAAATGTATTTATAATTTCTTCTTAGCTTCTGGCTCAGTAGTAATCTTCAGGACCCATCTATGAATTAATAACCATATTCTTCCCGAGAATTGTGTGTGACTTTTGGATGGGAGGAGCAAATTAAAAAAAAATAATAATTTCCCACTGGAGCTCCAGGGTAGCTCAGTTAGTTAAGTGTCTGACTCGACTCTGGCTCAGATCTCAGGGTTGTGAGATCGAGCTCTATATCTGGCTCCATGCTGGGTGTTGAGCCTGCTTAAGATTCTCTCTCTCTCTTCCTCTCTCCCACCCCTCCCAATGCTCTCTTGCTCACTCACTCTGGAAAAAAAAAAATCCCAATTATTTATCATTTCCAGTTTACTTTCAGCAAATATTTACAAAGTAGCCTGCCGTGTGCCTGACATGGAGATAGGGCCTGGAGGGAAGCGAAGGTGGGTGGTCCACTGTGTCTCTTACTCTCCTGTTATGTACAGATTGGGTGGAATGGTTGGAAATTAAATAGGTGAATCTGTCACAAAGCTGGAGGGAACATCGATAGGGCAGGGCTGAGAGCTATTTTACTGCTCATGGAAGAAGCTCTGAACCTGATTTAAGGGGTCAGTGAAAGGCTCTCTCTAGAAGTGATGTCTATACTGACATCACTATACTGATGAACTGGATTCTTGACTAGTCTAGACAGGCGTTGGGGCAAAGGGAAAACATTCTAGGCACAGGGAACTCTGGGTGAGTGTGTGTTAGTGGAGAGGGTGGGCGGTGCTCAGGTTTGGGAGAAAACACTGGATCTTCACCAATTTCTTCAAGATTTAACAAGCTTTTGTTAAGCACTTACTATGCAGTGGACATTGTTTTACATAATGGAGAGACATCAGATAACAAAACTGGTGATGTCTTTATTTTCATGGAAGTCATGGGGGAGAAGAGAGGAACAGAAATGTTTTGAAGAAAATTGCTTAAGGTAGGACAATGAAGAAGAGTTTAGGATGAAGTGACCATGGAGCTGACACTTCAGTGGGGAGAGGAGCCAGCCAGGAAAACACCAGGGGCTGGAGGGTTCTAGACAGAAGGAACAACAAAGGCAAAGAACTCAAAGGGAAGAACCATCTTAGCTTGTTGGAGAAACTGAAAGTGCCAGCGAGCTGATATGAGGAAAGTAGTACAAATAATTGAAAGGGTGTTTGGTTTGGGTTGTTGGTGCTGATAAAGGCATTAGAACATTATAATATAAACTAGTTCTGTTTTGTTTGAATTACATATACTACTGCGGGTGTCTCTTCAAAACTAGGACACTTTTGGAAGTTCTCAGCTGCAAGTACGCCTTCTCTGGGATGGGGCTTAGCTCTTTGTGTTTTAGTAACAGAGATGAGACTAAGCATATTTTCTGTCATCATTGTCAAATGTCCTGTTCCCAGTTACAAGCACGTGTCCCCAACACAGCAAATCAGTAGGGCCGCCCTTCTCAACTAAAGGTCTTATTATGTCAGGAGTGTCCTGATGGTTCCTCCTGAGTTCCAGCTATGTATTTCTACTTGCCCACATAAGCTTTCTTTTCCTGTTTTATTCCTTTGGACTCAAATTTGTGTTTCAAAAAATGCTTTAAAATCTTTCTGTCTGGATTGGGCCTGTATTATCCAGACTAATCATTCATGTTCTTCTATGTTCTTCTATTTCTCTGGGTTATCAATCTCTGTATTCTTGTGAGCCCCACATGAGACTCATGGCTCTTGTTTGCTCCCAGTTAACAGCTTTGGTGATGATGAAGAGCCATGCACATCTTCTGACAGTGATGAAGAGGTGACCAAACAATTTGAGATTTCTGTGTCCCGGTCCCAGAGTTTCCATTCAGAAGCATCTGAGAAAGGAAAGCAGGTGGGATTGGAGCAGAAATCAAAATTCAGCCACCTGCTCTCTACCCATGAGGAGGATAACACAGAAGTATCTGCCTGTGAAGGTATTCTTTGCATGAAACCCTTTCTTTATCTAGAGCAGGGATGGACAATGATAAGAACACCTGTGAGTCAATCATTATACTTGTATCTGAGAGCCCAGAGAGGAAAAGAAAATGGGGCAAGAACTAGAGGCTGGAACAGGGTAAAGGGTTTTTTCAAACCTAACAGAGGGGTGTCATATAGGGAACTGGGAGAAGGAATGGATAAGAAGTACCAAAATCTTGACCCCTGATTTGTGGGACCCCCCTCCTTCCTTAGAGCTTACCATTTTGTATATTTTGAACACTAATGGCTAGAATTAGCATGGTATTTATTAAGCTTTATAAAATCTTAATCTCCTCTGATAGATATAAACATTTCACATAGCTGTTTGCTGACATTGAGATTCTGTGCCTTTTCTCTCACTTGGAATCAGAGTCTATTTTCTATCTATCTGTATAACCTCAGACAATTTTTGAAATCTTTCTTTTAATAGTTCATATTATTAAAGCCACAGGCATGTTTTACCTTTCAAATAAAAACATGTATTATAGTAATATTGAATAACCCTTTTCAAACAGCACATACCCTGAACATCTGCCCTCATTCCCTGTAGTTTCTGGCCACCCCCACCACTATCCCCATCCTCTGCCCCACAGGAGAATTGCTTGCTGAGCAAGAGCAAGGTCTTCTGCCATTTTCCAGCATCTTCAGACTGAATACCTTCCCCAGTGATACAGTACTCTGAGGTAGAGTAAACCTAGCTTGTGGCTCATTATGGTAGGTGGGTCTTGTTAAGAGTCCTCCCTCCACACCACTCACACAAAATAACCTGGAAAAAGAACAGTAAATTATTTCTTAGTGCTTTCCCCAGTGAAGGTCAGGCATCTCTCTGACTCTTTTATGCCTGGAACCCTAGTAAGCACAGGATATTGAAACAGGGAAGAGTCTGTGAATCATATTAGGTAGAAAGCTAGAAGAAATGTCACACTGCCCGCTTTCGTGACCTGGTCTAAATGACCTGAGCTCTCTAATCTTTTTCTTCTTTCCCTTGGATACATGGTCAGTCAAACCAAGATGGGCATAGTTGTAGTCTTCCATAGTTTCTATTATGGAACTCTTCTCCCATAGTTGTAGTCTTTCCATTGTTTGCAACACTTAGCAATAGATAGAGAAAAAGGAGAGTCCGAGATTGAGAGAAGATAACAGAGAAGAAATGTCTGGCTCGACAAGGTGAATGAGGCAGTCCAAAAAAGAATAAAATAAAAATTTAAAGGAGGAGGATATCCAGAGGGAACCTTATTTATTTGTCAGCAGAAACATAACAATTTGCACTCTGTCGTGTAATTGTACTTATTGATACGGGCCAACATAGCATATTTTATTGCTGTTCCTATTAACCCAAGGTAAATGACCACCATATTGTATCAGTAGCTACTGACCTCTGCTATTCACTCACCACTCTCCTGTTTTTTCTTTCACTGGTGTTCCATGATAGTGTTCCTCCCTCTCCACTGCAAGGGCAAATGATTGCTAATGAAAGTTAATGGCGGTTGATTCCCCAGGAGCAGTTCCGTGCATTCTAAAGCTAATGGCCCCATTTCCCCAAAGCCCAAATGTCTAGTTTCTGATTTATACAAATGGCCCATGTTCTGAGAGTTCTGATAACAATTCTAACCCTCACCCCTTCTGGAATTAGCAATAACTTTATTCATAACTGGCGATTCTGAAAAACTTGACAGAGAGTGACAGGAAAAATCACATTTCTTTCTCTATTGGAGGGGGCAAAAAGCACATTGCACTGGATAAATTACCTATAGATTTTGAAGAAAATCAGCAAGATTTTTATAGGAGAGGATAACTGTGTGCTAAATTTTAGGTTATCAAATGCCATGAAAATGTTAATGTCATTTTTATTGCATGATATTTTTTGTTCTGTGTCATTTCTTTTTGTTCATCTTTAGGTTTATGAATTTGTTTTCAGCAGTAAAGAATAAGGAAGAGATTAAGCATGCACCCCAGAGAGGAATTGTGAGGGATTTTTGCCGGTCCTCCATCTACTTAGTCTTTTTTTTCCCACTCTACCTTAAATATGATTTTCTAAGAAAAAATTTAATTGTAGACAATTCTTCCACTTTCAAAATGCTTTCAAAATGTTGGAACAGTGAAAGTAAAGGTCCAAATCCAAGTAAAATCTGAACCATGAGTGAGTTATTGGCAGGTTATCTCATGTTTCATCAAGTGGGATCCTTCATTCTAGATGGAGTGGGGTTATTAGAACCAAGCGAACGCTACCTTCATATCCCTGGCCAGTTCTCTCGTCGCATTTGTCTGATGTAGCATAGCTGTGCATTAACTGTCTCTGCATCCCCAGGAATGCCAAAGAGGGTTTGTGTTAAGTGATCCAGATTAGAGGCTGCATATCAGGTCTTTAGGTCTGAAAAGTGGGCTGGAGAAGAATAGTCCACGTATCAGGGCATTTATCTATTTGTTTGTTTGTTTGTTTAATTGGTTTTGAACAGAGCCTTATTTTTGCTTATGAAATCTGTAGTTCTTAGAATGTTTCACAAAAACTAGACGTTGCAATCCTGATATCATTGAAAACAGTTCAGCTATCCCGGGAAATCTGTGCTCAGTTTTGTTTGGAATGGGGTATCAGTTAGGATTTTATATATATGAAGGTGACATTGAGGTGCCTGGCTGGCTCAGTTGGTAGAGCATTCAACTCCTGATCTTGGGGTCATGAGTTTGAACTCCAAGTAAACTTCTTTGTGTCCAGGGATGCCTCAAGTCTCCTCTTAAGGCTTTCAGTGAACTAATTACGTAGGATAATCTCCTTTACTTGAAGTCAAATGCTTAAGGGCCTTAGTCACATCTACAAAATACCTCACAGTGTTTCCTCAATTAGTGTTTGATTGATTAATTGAGGCTTATAGCTTGGCCAAGCTGACACATAAAACTGACTATTGTAGATGGTGGGCAAAAGTATTTGTATGTAGGTGGTGGTGGGAGAAGTGTTTGGGAGTGTAAAATAAAGTAACCGGATAATAGCGTTATACCATGTCAAAGTGGGATATGGACTAAAAAGTGCTAAAATCTTTCTGTTAAAATAAATATGGTTTGTATGATGTAACCATGGCCTATAATTTCTAAGAAGCTAGGATACATTACTCTGACAACAGACAATTACTTTTCTGTATGTGTTTAAGGTGACACGATCTTCTTTAACTTATAGGATGGGAAGATTGCCTTATGTAATGGTGAATCCCCTTTCTTTTCCTCTGCCTCGTGACTTATACCCCAGCTTTGCTTTTCTAATTCATTCCTTGCTTGTCTGTCAAGGAAAATGGTTTGTTACATTAATATAGTTCTTATGTTTTTCAGTTATGAATAGCTTTTCAAGGCTTAATGTAGCTTTTGAAAATTCCCTTATTACTGATCTAGGTATTATCACCATAGGAGTTAAAGTCATGAGACAATTTTATGGGGGTAATTTCTTGGCAAAGTTAGATTTTGTGCTGAAATCCTGCTGGGTGCTGCACACGTTGATGGATGACCCACTGTTTAATAGGACATTTTAGTGTTCATGGATATGAGGAATGGATGTGCTAATTAGAGCCTTAGAAGAAAATTCTGCTTTATGTTGTAGGGTTTTGCATATGGAATATCCCTTGTTCTATTGTTTTCTGTGGACTTTTTAAAGTATGTTTGCCAAATAACTGAATGTGTGAATGTAAAAATGTCATGGTGTCCTATGAAAGTGTTTCCAAGGGGCCTGAACTGAATTATTAAGAATTACAAGGCAGTAAGGGGAACTTCTCAGTGGTTTGCCATGGTTTTGGAAAAATCCCAAATTAGGAGTCTGAAGTTGTGCTCTGAGTACCAATCTGCCTAAATATGTTTTTGTGTAGTCTGCATAGGGTGATAATGTATTTTTTAAGATTGCGTGTTTACTGCAGGTAGGTAATAAACTGCTGGTAAACCACTGTTGCCACTACTCCGTAGAGATGCACACCCGGCTGCTTCAGAAATTTGTTAACCTGCCTAGCCTTGAAAGTTATGGGGAGAGTTTCACGAAACCCATTGGTGGATAAAGACTAGGAAGCATAGATATGTGGCCAGGGAGCTTATGTTTTGGCTGAGGCTTTAAGACCAACAGTAGAAACACTTGCTACCATACAGTATAAATAAGAGCTGAATTCATGATCTATACTTTGTCATCCCACTCACTTGTCCTGTCTGTATCTCTAATTTCTCTTATCCTGGAGATGAAAGAGAGAACACGTCCTCGGCTACTTTCTGGATGTGGGAGGAAAGTCAGGGAGAAAGCTATTGCTTGGGAAGACCCTGCCCATTTTCCTTTACTGTCTGAGGATAACTTAGACTGGAAAGGAGAGGAAGGAGATGCATAGGTAAGGGAGGGCTGATAGGGAAGGTAGAATAACACTAAAGTCAGAGAAAAATACTGAGTCCAAGAAGTGAGGGTAGATTCAAGAGCTGTTGGGCTTTGGCTGGACAAGAAGGAGAGGGCAGGAGTGGGGGTTTGAGGACCACAATGGACAGAAATACACAACTAGTGTTTTCATGACCCCATGAGACCACAGGTGATAGTAACATGGAGGCAGTAGAAAATGGGGTTTACTGGGTTGGATGAGGCCAGTTTGGGTCAGACAAGCAAGCAAGGCCAATATTTACGGAAAACCTAGTGACTGCTAGGAGGCTCTTGTTTCATGTGTTTACAATGATTCTCTAATGGCTTTTATCCTCATTTTATCAATAAGGAAACAAAGGTTTGGACAGTTCAAATATTGTGTAAATTTATTTTCCTTTTTTTTTCAGTTTTTTTTAATAATTTTTTTAAATTTATTTTCAGCATAACAGTATTCATTGTTTTTGTACCATACCCAGTGCTCCATGCAATCCGTACCCTCTCTAATACCCACCACCTGGTTCCCCCAACCTCTCACCCCCCCACCTCTTCAAACCCTTCAGATTGTTTTTCAGAGTCCATAGTCTCTCATTGTTCACCTCCCCTTCCAATTTCCCCCAACTCCCTTCTCCTCTCTAACTCCCCTTGTCCTCCATGCTATTTGTTATGCTCCACAAAAAAGTGAAAGCATATGATAATTGACTCTCTCTGCTTAAATTCTTAATGCAGAGCTAGGATTTAAATCCAGATCATCTGAATCCAAGTCCAGTGTTCCTTCCATGGATCAAGTAGAGAACTTTTTACTTGAAAGAACCACTGAAGCCTTTCAAGGAGAGGATAAGATAGTGAAAGTGGAAGAGAGAAAGAAAAATAGTCGAGTCAGGACACAATATGATCTCCGTAGATTGTTGTTCTTGCTTTCTAGATCTATCCCCAAGGTCTTGTGGCCATTAGTTCCAACAAAGTGCTAATGTGTTTATTTTATCCTTTTAACATTAGGACACATCCTTCAATACTCATATCACTAGAAAGCATTAAACCTTTTTATACCACATGTAATGAACTAATGGTCTTTTTGGTTATATAGACCTAGTTTATCCACCACGTGGATGCAATTATGTTTCTGCAGGTGTTATTTGATGGGTTTTGCTTTTGAGGTCTTGATTTATGTTGTTGCTGTCATTTGTTGTTGTTGCTTGATTTATGTTGTTGAGTCAATTTCTCCAGGTAAAAAGGTAGAAAGTAATAGTACATTTGAATTAGTTTCCTTATTGCAAATTTAGATTTGGATGGACCCAGCCAGCTGAATTATTCTGAGAATCTGTCCTACAGTGAAGATGATCCCGTTTCTGCCCATTCCCAGTCCCCATGTGAGGTGGGGAACACCGGGCACCATGGTGCATCTCCTCAAGAGACCAAAGTGCCTCACAGCCTCAGTCGCCAGTCTACAGAAGGCAGCTTGGAATTGGAGACAGCCTTTAATAACCGGGGGTTTGAAGACTCCTATGCTACAGACAGCTCCTCCATGTGGAGCCCAGAGGCAAGTTACTTGTTTTCCGTTCTTTCCTTCGCTTGAGCGTTGTGTGCTCTCTGGTGAGTTCTTGCTTTCCTCTTGCTCCCCATGCCTCAAGAAAAAAAAAAATTTCCCTGAAAAGGGTACATCACCTTGAAAGACAAAGGCCTAAAGAGCCTTTATTCAAAATAAATTTTTTTTTCAGATGACCACATCACAGCCCCCATGTGTACCAATAAAAGGGGGTATACAATAAAAGAATCACAAATACATTTCTATCAAAATGGGGGGAAAAAGAGTGGTGGTGGAATGGACCCAGCAACAATTATACTTCTTGTTTATATAAAAGTTTTTAGTTCTTCAGGGAAGATTGGTTTAGTTCCTTCATGGTTTCAATTAAGTGGAGTCTATTTTTATTTGCCCCAAATCTTGAGTTACAGTTACTTGAATAAAAGAATTATTTGAAAATTAAAATACAATGGCCCTCCCAGTGAAACAATGCAAGATATTATGATGAAGATCTTGCCGTAAATTTGTTGGATTTGAATTGATTTCAAGATCTAGGAGATGGCATTAGTTTGTGATGACCCTCTGGCCATTGACATTGGTTTCTGGAGTAAATCTCTGATAAAAGATGCCCCAGGGCATCTGGGTGGCTCAGTCATTAGGCATCTGCCTTCAGCCCTAGTCATGGCCCCCGGGTCCTGGGATCAGCCCCTCACTGGGCTCCCTGCTCTGACAGGAGCCTGTTTCTCTGTCTCCCACTCTCTCTGCTTGTGTTCCCTCTCTCACTGTGTCTCTCTGTCAAATAACTATATAAAATCTAAAAAAAAAAAAAAAAAAGATGTTCTTTCTAAATTTATTTCTTATTTGAAACTTATTCCAGAATATGCCTAATAGCACAGAGGTATGATTGGAGGTGATTCTTAGAGACACTATCATTTATTGAGCAATTACAATGTGCCAGGCACTGTGATAAAGATTTGCAAACACTATGTTATCTAACAGGCATTTTTGGTTATTCTTTATTAGCTAGGTCTCTTTATTGTGACTCTGTGACATTAGGAGATGTCAAATAATAATGTCTAATGCCTACTTGGAAATTAATTTTGATGAAATATGTAATAAATGAATATAAAATATTAATATAATTTGTGGGGCAATAGGAAAGAGAAAAGTGAATGGAGAAAAGTGAAAGGATTTTGTTAGCATCAGGCTGCCTGGGAAAATAAACAGGTAGAATCTCTTATTAGGACCTAGGCTGTCATATATTCCAAATGCTCCTCAAGGAGAAGAAAAAATAATCACAGAAAGTCATGTTCCAAAACCTTACTGCTAATGCATTAGGATGCGTAGAGAGAGCAGAAGGAGGTGTACACATGTGGGCGGGTGTCTGTGTGCCATGTGTTGGTGTTACCACTGAGGACAAGAAACAGTAACTCGGATACGTGGCTTGTCGAGAGCAGCCCTGCATATAGAGACACCCAAAGCTATTAACCTTATAAGTTGTTGGGTTTTTTTTTTAAATTCTGCTTCCCAGTTGGTTTACTGCTAAGAAGTCCTATCAAATCCCACACAACAACATTTAACATTTAAAAATATTCCTTTTGGCTCTCTCACCACAAAAACAAAACAAAAGCTGTTACCTGCCTCTTGATACTCTGTCCCCTTGATACTCTGTCCCCTTGTTCCCTTAGGCTTGGGATTGCTTTCTTCAGGTAACCTCCCATCTGCCTGACTCACGGAGCTTTCATAGAAGACTTTGTGTTGAGAGCACTAAATGTTCCCAGACTCCAAAAATACCCAGACATCTCTGTGTGCTCCATTCAACCTCCTATCTATTTTGAGACAAAAACTGTAATTTGGTGCTCCTACGGTAGAACCTCAGATGCAGCTTGGAGGCACTTCCTGTAACTGCCTGCCTTGCAGGCTTAGCTTGCCTTTTAAGAATTGATTGATTTGCCTCTTGGCTGTATTAAGAACCCTGTCTTCCCCTGTGCATCTGGCATGGGAACATATCACAGGTCTGTTTACGTGGAGCCATACAGATGACATCAACACTATCTCACTGAAACACAAAGGCTTTCAACCTGATAGAAAAATCTTTAAACCTACTAGGGTTTTGACTGTGCGGCACAAGTGTTCCTATCTTAAAGAACAATCCGGATATTGAAACTAAAAGAATCATTTATTTCCTCTCAAAAGGAAACCAGCCAGGCAGTGTGCCTACTGGTTAGGCTGATGGATTTTTGAACACTGCTCTTCTCTGCCCGAAAAGGCCATCGACTTTTTCCTGCAGACCCAAGGCTTGGCAGGGCAGACATTGGGAGGACGGCTGGTGATTTTCATCACGCAGGAGGCAGGCGTCCCACATTTCATCTCTGCTTTCTACTGATTAACCGGTCGGCCTTGAGAAGTTAATTAAAATCTGCCAAATGGGGATAAAAATGAAAAGATTTTTTTACCTTGCAGGAAGGTCAAATGGATTAGTGGTATTAACAGTACCCGCATAAGGAGAGCCTGGTGATAGGTAACGTGTGTTGGAATAATTAATTGCTGTGAAAATACCAGCCTTCCCAAATCTGTGTTTCAGAGCAACCCAGGAAGGGGCCACAGAGCCCAGCTTCCCTGTGCTACAGTTTGCATCAGCCCTGTCCAGAACCTGGCGATGGCCTACAGCTCTGTCTTCTGCAGGGTTCTGAGGAGAGTCGTTTAAGAGACCTCCAAAGGACTTCCTTAGACCTGCAGATGGAGTGAGCCTTTGTCTGAATAGATAGCCTGACGGATGAGTGGAGAGAGACTCACTGAACTTAATATGTTTACCTTGCCTTGAAGTTGCTGACAAAACAGGAAACTGTTAACTATCATTAAGAGCAGGGACTTAAAAGGATGTGAAATTCAAAGTAGTATGTATTTCCGTCTTTCATCTTACTCCCGCCTCACCCCGCGTATTTACTCCAAATATAAATAGCTATGGGAAGAGCCTCAGGGAGAAGAAGGGAGACATCGTGGTTCAGCATAAGGTTTGGAATTTTGAGCATTAATGCTGGTAAATCCTGCATTGTCCTGGTGGGAGTGAGTTTCTAAATCTTAAGTTTCCTCCCCCATAAAATGAAGATATTTAAAATTCCTACCTCATTAGGTTAATGAGAATATTTTCAAAGATAATAATTCTTAGCTGGATTTCCCAAAAAGCAGAGCCTACTGTGTCAGGATATTCAATCCCTGGGAAGAAGAGTGAGGGATAAGGGGAGAGTGAGACAGGGAAGAAGGGAGAGCCACATGGGAATGTGTAATCAAGTCGGCCACCACAAAGTGTGACTCATGGCTTGATCTTGTGGGACCATGCCACAAGAAGCTGTATTAACTGATCTCGGGACACCTGTCTAAGGGGAGACAAGTTTACTGCATGAGGCAGTAACCTTACACACACGCTAGAATTTATATACATGAATGCCAGCCAGAATTCTGTAACTTTCCAAGCCTTAACATCAACAGAGAGGTCTGTGGTGAGAGTTGAGAGCAAGCAGTTGAGACCTCCATGGGCTGTTAACAGGCCAAAGCTACTTAGAGCCCGACAGGCTGTGCCTGTAGAGGGAGACGTAATAAAAGGTGAGGCCAAGAAGGTCTAAAGTGAGTAACAGTGGGCTTTTGCGGTATATAAAAAGTTTAGTATGGTATCTGGCACAAGAGAGGGCTTTGTGGATGTTGGCCATCATTACTTTTGATCCAGCAAGCAATATAGAGATGATCAAGAGGAGGCTAAAATAGAGGGGAGTTTTAACAGAAGACTGTGACTTGATTTCTGAGCTAGCCTAACTCCTTGGAGACTTGCTTCTAATATTATATCTACACTAGTCAGTTGTATTCAGAAGTCTCTATAGCAACCACTTTTATCACTTGAAACTAAGTACCTCTGAATAGAAACACTCTCTCATGAATGCATGCTGAGGAAAGAATCTAAGGAGCTTCCCCTATTTTGCAAGAAGCCTAAATTTTCTCGGTAGACTAATGTGAATTTTAAAAAGAGAAGGCATTTATTCCATGTCTCCCGTGTGTCAAGTCCTTTCATTTTCATAACAACCCTGTAAGTAGTTTTCATCCCTGTTTTACTGTTGAAGAAAACCGAGAGAGGAAAGGATTAGATAATTTGTTCAATGCCATGGAGGAGGAAGTGGTAGACGTTGGGTCCCTGAGGATGTCTCACTCCAGAGAACCGTGCACTTTCACCTCAGCTCTGCAGGGAAAGTCTTGTTGATGAATGCGCATTTTTGAGGCACTTTATTATATATTTTAAAGTTAGTCTTTAGGGACGCCTGGGTGGCTCTGTTGGTTAAGCCACTGCCTTCAGCTCGGGTCATGATCCCAGGGTCCTGGGATTGAGTCCCACATTGGGCTCCTTGCTCAGCGGGGAGCCTGCTTCTCTTGCTGCCTCCACCTGCCACTCTGCCTGCTTGTGTGTTTTCTCTTTCTCTCTGACAAATACATAAATTAATTAAATCTTTTTTTTTTAAAGCAGGCAACCTCCTTTAAAAACAATAAAGTAGTCTTTAAATCAGCAAAGTCTGGTGTTCAGTTACATAAATGAGAATGGATTCCGATTTACAACAAGAATCAGGTCATAGTTTTGTTATGAGGAAGTATCATATTTTCATAGAAAAAAATCAAATTATGTTGACATTCTTTTTTTTTTTTTTTAAAGATTTTACTTATTTATTTGACAGAGAGAGATCACAAGTAGACGGAGAGGCAGGCAGAGAGAGAGAGAGAGGGAAGCAGGCACCCTGCTGAGCAGAGAGCCCGATGTGGGACTCGATCCCAGGACCCTGAGATCATGACCCGAGCCGAAGGCAGCAGCTTAATCCACTGAGCCACCCAGGTGCCCCTATGTTGACATTCTTTATAGTTTGTTGGAGAGTACTCCACTCTTGTAATGCAGGTCATCTCAGCTTTTTCAGTGAGGTCATCAGATCTGAGTGGCTATGGGTGAATTGTTGTCTAAGGGTGCTATTTTATAATGAGGGGCCCATGTTTGAAAACAGGTAGCATCAGTCCATGGATGGGAGTAGGTATTGATGGAGTCTGGTCTGTGCCAGGTCTTTTTCCATATCTCATAAAACCTCACCACTGCACTCCATCAAGTAGGCATCTTAATGCTCAGTTTGCAGCTAGAGCACAGAGAGAGTGGCCTATTTGGCCAGAACCAAGAAGATAGTGTATGGTAGAGTTATGATTCCAGCCCATGGGTTCTGTTTCCGCATCCAGTGTTGCTCTTTGCTAAGTGACTGCTACAAGTGTCCTCCTAAAACCTTGGTACTCAAAGTGTGGTTTGTGGCCAGCTGTGACACCCTCATGACCTGAGAAATGAGGAGTCTCAGGCCTCACCCCAGTCCTCCAGAATCAGAAACTGTGAGTGACTCAAGTCCACATAAATGTTCAAGAAGTTCTACCCTAAACATTTTCTCCCATGTAGCTTGAAAATCTACTGAAGGATCACCTGTCTGTGAGCTGCATTAGGATTCTTTTTTTTTTTTTTAAGATTTTATTCATTTATTTGACAGATAGAGATCATAAGTAGGCAGACAGGCAGGCAGAGAGAGAGGAGGAAGCAGGCTCCCTGCTGAGCAGAGAGCCTGATGCGGGGCTCGATCCCAGGACCCTGAGATCATGACCTGAGCCGAAGGCAGAGGCTTAATCCACTGAGCCACCCAGGTGCCCCTGCATTAGGATTCTTATCTGCATGAAGTCCTGGCCCTTGGAGCACAGGCCCAGACTTAACCATTTCTCCTGGGAACTGCAGAAAAAGTTATTTCTTGGCAGTTGCATTGTTGACTAATTTTAGACTTAGTATCTCAGTTTCAATGATAGTGGTCAGTTGTACTTTTGGAGAGTCGGTGTATATGAAAACACTTTGTAAATTATAAAAGTTTTCTTTCTTCATTCCAGAAACATTCATGAAGGCTCACCATATGCCAGAAGCTGTGCGCCTAAAAAATTTGCAGTCCAAGGGAGACAGAGACCAGTAAACAGACCCTTCTGATGTATAGGGATATGTGGTAGTGGTCAAAGATTAGAGGGTTCTGAAGGAGCATAGAGGGGCACCATCTCACCAAAGGGTTGGACATTACCATCTCCATTCCTAATCTCTTCCTCTATCTGCAACAGGAACAGGATGGGGCCAATTTTCAGGTGCCAACGGGGGTCTTGGAGCCCATCTCAAAATGTGGTGACCTGGATGTCATCTTTGAATATAGAGCTTCCAGCCAGAAGTTCACAGTGACCATTGTGAGAGCACAGGGTCTCCCAGACAAGGACCGAAGTGGTGTCAACTCCTGGCAAGTTCACGTTGTGCTGCTGCCCAGTAAGAAGCAGAGGGGCAGGACAAGCATACAGAGAGGCCCCAACCCTATCTTCAAGGAGAAGGTCACCTTCACCAAGCTGGAGCCCAGAGATGTGGCTGCCTGCGCTATCCGCTTCCGTCTGTATGCTGCCCGCAAGATGACCCGTGAGAGAATGATGGGAGAGAAGCTATTCCATCTCAGCCACCTGCACCCAGAAGGGGAAATGAAAGTGACTCTGGTTCTGGAGCCAAGAAGTAATATCAGTGTGAGTATGTTAAATGGTGCTGCTAATGATGCGGGTATGTTCAAGGATCTGGAATTGTCAGCCCTTGATTTAGTACATTCAGCCTGTGAATTCAAACACCTTAATTTAATTTTCCATTTGGCTCTCCTCATCTTTATAAGCCATGATTTGCACTTCATGGTACAGTGGTTTTTTCCTTCATGCCCATCTTCCCTATAAGCCGATGGATGTATTCCCAGTCCATTTCTGGAAATGACAGCAAGGGTAGGGGGAAGGTTTAGCCTGCTGATTAAATGACCTATGGTCTGACTCCCTCCCTCGTGCCCCATGCTTACTATGCATTATGATGAACATCAGAGATGGGACTTCCAAGGGGAGCTCCTTAATGTGTGTGTCTGAGTAGGCTACAGCTGCAGCCCTGATCTCCAGCCACTCCTCAGACCTTCCATTTATATGATTGGGCTCCTTCCATGTGCCTTATTCTCTGAATCCCTGCTGGGGTTTTGAGGAAGGACAGCACATCTTCTATGTCTCCAAGATGGACAACTCACTATTGCTGGGGGTTAAATGTCATTACGTAGGAGGGCCTCCTTTTTTAAAAACCATGTGAAAAGATCAGGTGGCTATCTTGGGCTGCTGGGCCAATCAGTCGTCCATTCAAACACATTTACTCAGTGCCTGCTATGTCATGTACTGTGCAGGCAGAGGGCATGTAGGAAAGAACAAAAAGGGTGAAACACCTCTGCCCTTAAGAGCTAACAGCCTGGTGGAGAAAGGGATGTGAGAGCAAACCAGGGTTTGCAAGGGAGAGAGAGGAATAGAGCCTGCTGTTGGTTTAGAAGGGTCAGAGCACGTGTCTCTAAAGTGGTAATAAAACACAGAAATCCATGAATCAAGGGATCAAGACTGTAGTATGTGGATAAGCAAGGATTCCAGGAGGAGAGAATGGCACATGTAGGCATCGAGAAGTAGGAAGGAGCTTGTCCTGTTTCAGGCAAGGAAAGGAGCCAGGAAGTAGTTATGGAATGTAGTTATGGGAGACCCCACCACTTAAATTTTAAATAGATATCTCAAAATTAATATCTCCAGACTTGCCTCCCCAAATCTATTCTACCTGCAGCATTTCCAACTTGGCTAAAGGCAATTTCATCCTTTTAGTTGTTTAGGTCAACCTGAAATCCTATTGGCTCTATCTTCAAAGTCGAACCAGAACCTAACTCTGCTGGATTACTGAAATGGCCTCCTACTGGTCTTCCTGCTTTTGCCTTTGCCCCTTATAAACTACTCCCAACACAGACACCCATATGAACCTTTTAGGGGCTCCTGGGTGACTCAGTCCATTAAGTGTCTGACTCCTGATTTTGGATCAGGTCATGATCTCAGGGTCCTGGGATGGAGCCCCATGTCGGCTCTGAGCTTGATGAAGAGTCTGCATAGGATTCTCTCTCCCCCTCTGCCCCTCTTCCACTTGTGTTCTCTACCTCTCTTCAAAGTAAATAAATAAAATCTTTAAAAAGCTCAAAACAAAAACACAAGCCAGGTCATGTCTCATTTCTGCTTCAATCCCTCTATTTTCTTAAGCTCTGAGTAAAGTACACCTGAAATCATGGAAAATAGAAGCCAGAGGAGGTCAGAAGGAACACTGCATTATTAAGGTATGGGAGTAGGTAGGATCACACTCCCATTTCTGCATGCCAGGCCCTGTCCTGGAGGTATGAAGTTGGGGCGGGAAATGAACCAGTGTGAAAGAACTTCGAAGGTAAAAAATTCTTCATCAGTTATCTGTTGATCATGATTATATGCCAGGCATTGGGCTTTGCACTGAACAGAGTGATTTATAGGGATTCAAAATGTAATGTGGGAGGCAGGCTCTGTAGTGATAGGTACCTTGGTAGATGCTTCTGCGGAAACAGAGGGAAAGGCTGATCCTTACCCCAAACCAAGCAAATATGTCACTACTGGGCGGTCATCACCTAAACCCTAGGGCCTATATGGCACCTATCCATATCAGCTCTCCCTATACTTTACATATTCTTGAAGGCCCAGGGCTCTACCCTAGCTGGGTAAACAGGATTTTCTCCTACAGATGTGAAGAATATTTAATACCTTTTAGTGTGTTTTTTTGTGGGGTTTTTTTTTTAAAGATTTTATTTATTTTTTAGAGGGAAAAAAAGAGAGCATAAGCAGAGGGGAGTGGCAGGCAGGAGGAGAAGCAGGCTCCCTGCTAAGCAGGGAGACTGACACGGGGCTTGATCCTAGGACCCTGGGATCATGACCTGAGCTGGAGGCAGGTGCTTCACCAACTAAGCCACCCAGATGTCCCTTTGTGGGATTTTTGATAACAAGCTTTAGGAAGTGATTTCAGATGTTGAGGCAACCGTTTGAGCTAAGTCTGATGCACTTGTTTCTGGTGGAGGAGGTGGTGGTTTGGGGAGTCTGGCTGTCTTATCCCACAGGGCCAATGCCCACTGTGCTTCTTGAGTGAGAGTCAACCTCCTGACTTACTTTGCTCTCCTCCTCCCAATGTGTCTGCTGTAGAAAGGTGGGCACTTTGGAGAAGCCAGTGTGTGGGAATAAACAGGACAGAAAGCGCTGACTCTCTCCTAGGCTCACCTGGTGCCTGCAAGGTCTCTGAGATCCACAGTCCATGCATGGATTTATTTAATTTTATTATTTTATTTTTTTACCAAACACTTGTAAAAGTGTTCGTTTTCAATATAATTCATTTCCTCGGGGTGGGGGGGATGTAGCATCTGGCCTATTCCTGACAACCCTAGGAAGCAGAACTAGGGCCCAGATATTCTGTGTGGTGGTAGGTGGTCACGGCTGCTTCTCTTCTAGCAAAGACAGAGGGCCTCCTGTGTTGCTGCATTCATCAAGAAGCTGCAGAGAACAGAAACAAAACTCGTGCCTAGAGTGGATGGGTTCCGTAGAAACACTCAAGCACAAATGACACAGGAGGGAACTTGGGTCTATATTAAATGTATTATGAGCTCTTCCTGTATGAGGGGGTTTGATTTACACGAGTAATAATATCTTTGTCCATTTTGTCTTTAGAGAGGAAATGTTGAATGGAGACAGCTCTCGAGGCAAGTGTGTCAGCGAATAATGCAGGGCATCTCACCCGTGACCGCACTCCCCAGGCCCATTATCATTCACACCAAGTGCGCCGTTAGTAATCTTTGGCAACGGTTGGGACCGGGCCACAATTTCAGCACACATAATACCGGCTTTCTGTACGAGAGCAGTACAGCGTGGACCAATGGATTCTTTGTTGTTCTCCCCCTCCAGAGTGGAGAGTCTCCGCTCAGCCCATCTGCACTTTCTCACAGTGATACTGCTTCCTCCACGCAGTCGCTTTCTCATGGAGGGGCCCCGGAGCTGCTGGTGGGGCTGGCCTACAACGCCACAACGGGGCGATTATCCGTGGAAATGATCAAAGGCAGCCATTTCCGAAACCTCGCTGTTAATAGAGCGCCTGGTAAGTGCGTGTCTGTAGCCCCAGCTCTGGGCCTTCCAGAGGCAAGCCGAAGGCTGTGTTGGCTTTGGTCTTCATTCTTGAACTTTCTTCAAGACATGATCTCGGTATGACTTAGCCATGTTTTTACAAAGCTATACCTCAGAGTATCTTAAATGCCCTTTTATCTCATTAGCTTGATGGCTTCTCCAATATCTGGATATAGCTCCATGCAAAATATGCTGCCCTCTACATGCATATGGGTAAAGGGAAAAGACGGCTGTCTCCTCAGCAGCACGATGTGTGTGGGCAATTAAAATCTGCTAAGAGGTTCCAGGCCTGCAAATACCTTTAAAGAGTCAGAGCGTAGGGTTTGGAGTGAGGCACATCTGGGGCCAAAGTCCAGCTCTACCCACTTACCCATTAGCTTTGCTCTGATCCAGTACAATTCAGCTCTCTATTAGGAATCTCAGTAGATTCACCTGGAACAAAGGGATGTTCATAATACTTTCCTTATTGGTTTGTCTGTGGGGGGTGGGTTAAATAAAATGATTTCTATAAAGCATTTAGCCTAATGGCTAACACACAGTGAGCATATGAAAAATGTTAGTGGTTATGGTGCTGACAGAGGAGGTGCTGGAAGAGGATCTAGGGCAATATGAGCCTGACTTAGCAGGAGAGGTAGCACTTTGGAGATCACCACTGGAAGGAGGGCCTCGAGGCCCTCCTGTAGCAGCAGTCCTGGGTCCAGAAAGCCAGAATAAAAATGCTGCTGCTGGAAACAGCCACAATTGCCTATCAGGACCCAAGAAGTTAGATACTGGGCATTGGACTAATGCTGCAAAAATTAACTTGGCTTTAATGATTGTCAGAAAAAAAAAAAAAAAAGCTTAAGAGGGGCTAGGAAGATGGTTTCTGCCTCCCTTCTGCCTTCTGGGTCTCTTGCAAGTACATACAACCAAAGGCACCTAATTCTTATCTGGAATTCTAGCTGCAAGAGAGTCTGAAAAATGTTGTTTGATTTCCAGCCTTTCAAGTCCAGAAAGTAAACTAGAAAGGGTAGCATGGAGGGCAAGTGAGCCTGTCCACCCCAGGCATCAGTCTTACTGAAATAAGGATGAAGTTGCTAACAACATGGTAGCAGCCAAGCTCTAGCCTCACATGTCAGCAGCCAAGCTAGTAGAAAAGCATCAGCTTCAGGGGGGAAAAAAAAGGCAGCTTCTATAGCCAATCTAGGCTCTCACTCTTCTTAGTCTTTATCTGTGCTGCAGCCCACAAAGTCTCTCTGTTCAGTGGTATCTCATTGTTGATCTGTATTAACACCATTAGAGCAAGGTAGTGAGGAATACCCAGCACTCTGGATAACAAGAGGGCAGGTACAGAAGCTGTATTCTGTGTTGATGCTCATGGCCATGTGAGAGCTATTTAACATGCATCATAGGTGCTGATTATCACATGGCTAGTCTCTTTGCTAGATACAGCTTTGTTTTTTAAAATAGCTCTGGATTTATTAAAGACCTGGATTTACTGCTTTTCCTTTAGAGCTTTTTCCAGTTTTCCCCTATCCTCCTGAAAGTTGGTGAGATCTGGATAACTATTTGGGAAGAACATGGTGGAGCTGCAGAGAGTGATGGGGAGGTGAATCACACAGTCATAACCTATTCCAGTCCAAGGTGGGAAGCTCTAATCTGTGTGCTGGGTGGTGTTATGGTGGCTAAGAAAGCATCAGCTGGAGGCTGACAAACTAAGGTGTGAATTCAGGCTCTGACACTTACTAGCTGGGAGTTATTAAACTTTCCTGAATCTCAGTTTCCTCATCTGTAAAATGGAATTATAATCAGATATACTTTCTAGGTAGAAATACTACATAGAAAGCTGTGATGTTGCGGATGGTACTATTGTATCATTATATATTTCTATACAGGAGAAAACATGCCAAAGAGGAAATTCTTGTAACAAATATTTAAAACTGAATAGGAAAAAAAAAAAGGCAAGTCCTAATTTAGAAATTGATTTTATTCCAGAAGTTTAAGTCAGTTTGGCATTTGCTATATGATTTTTTGTAGACATACTGTTGCAATTTAATTTAAAACCTAACTGACATGCTGTATCTTTGCAACCAAAGTAATAGGAAACAATGTTGCTGTGATGCTGTTCATTAAAACAGAAACTCGGTAGTGAAGACAAAAGTGTTTTGTTTATGTAGAATTCCGGTACTTGAGGAAAAGCCAGTTTAATTAGGAGAGGTTGAGAAAGTAGAAGGTTCCTTTGTGGAGATTGCAAAAGGGATCTCTTGGTACTTGCAAGGGCTTTAGATGTTGATGGCCTTGGTTCTTCATTATGTCCAACTTTATTATGCCACTAGCACTGCTTTGGCAGTCATCAGGCAAACTTAGGATACATTTTTAGTTCCCATATGGAAGAAAATAAGAGACAGAGCAAGAGTTTTATGAGATAACTGAGCAGAGTTGGAAGAAAGGGGGGAGGAGAGAGGATGCAGGCTGGGGGATGAATGGGCCTGGGAGTAATGTGTAGCTCAGGGAGACTGCCAAATGCGCTGTCCCCATGAGGTGGATGGAGGGCAGGGGATGTCGCCAGAGCCCTGCATCATGGGTCAGAGTCTGCCAAGAGGAGCTGCCTGCAAGGGGAGAGGGGTGTGTGGGAATACTCATGTGAGGGTCCTAAAACCCTATGCATAAGGCTCTGGGCTCAGGGACAGTTCGCTCTTCTGTAAGAGAGGACACCAATCCCGCTTTACAGAGTAGCCATGATAATTGAAGAATGGTTCTTAGGGAAGCCAGAAGGAGAATATCTTGAGCCTGAATATTGGGAGCTTTTCTTCTCTAGAATATCAAAGTTTCTAAATATTGCTAGAAACTGGGAGAAAGGCTGAGATTTAGAAGTGAGATTCTTTTGCCTCAAAATATATTGTGAAACAAAATAGAACTTTGAACTTGCCAACTTGATCCAGCCGGATGACTGTTAGGACATTTTAAACTTTCCTTTCTAAGCAAGATAGAGGAAAAGTGGGCAGATAGTAGATAAAATTCCTCTGCTCTATTAGGGCCTTAGAAGAGATAAACCACGGAAATGTAAGCCCCTTTTCTCAAACTCCTGAGGTAAATACTTGGGGGAGAAGGCTCAGTGAGATGCGGGTTTTGCTCTAATGGTCAGAAGCTGATGAGAGCATTCTTAGGTAGGAGCCCATGACATGTGCCAGACTGGCTACAAGTAAGGCTGATTCCACCAAGTGTTGTTGAGGATATGGAGAGTATATTCTAGGTGAGAATGGAAAAACCACTTGGGAAAAGGCCTGGCAGTTTCTTATACAAGTAAACATGTGCTGAAAATCCAACAGTTCTATTTTTAGGCATTTACCCATATGTTAAAATGAAGAATAAAAGACCTGCACAAGAATGTTCAGAGCACATCTAGTCATAATGACAAAAACTGTAAAGACCCCTCATGTCCACATGAATGAGTAAACACCAATATATTTATACAGTGGAGTACCATTCAACAACTAAAAAGGAAATTAACATGGGAACTCAAAAACATACTGAGTATCTATTACATGACTCCATTTATAGGAAGTTCTCGAATAGGTGAAATTCATCTATCGTGAAAATAAGCAGAAGAGTGGTTGCCTCAGAGTTGGCCTCAGTGTCAAGATGAACTAAGCATGGACATGAAAGAGTATTCTGAGGTGATGGACATGTTCTATATTTTGATGCGAGTTTGAGTTAAATGGATGTTTATATCTGTTAAAACTTATTGAATGGTACTAGAATTTGTGCATTTCACTGTGTGTAAATTTTACCTTAAAATGGGAAAGAACCATAAAATATTGAACTCTGCTTAATTAAATGCATGCAGAAATGTTTAGGGGTGAAGAGTAATGTTGGATGGATTGATGGGTAGATAGATATGCAAGTATGTGAGAAAGAAAATGGTCTGAACTTGGGCTACTACAACAAAACGTCGTAGACTAAGTGGCCTCACAGAAATTTATTTCTCACAGTTCTGGAGGCTGGGAAGTTCAAGACAAAAGTCCAGCTGATTTGGTTCCTGGTGAGAACCCTCTTCCTGCTTTGCAGACAGATACCTTCTTGCCGTATCCTCACATGGCAGAGAGAGAAATCATGTCTCTCTTGTTTCTTCTTATAAGGGCACTAATCTCCCTCATGAGGGATCCACCCTCATGACCTAATAACCTCCCAATGGTCACACATCCAAATACCATCACACTGAGGATTGTGGCTTCAACATATAAATTTTGGGAGAATACACACATTCAGCCCATAGTACAAACAAAGCAAAATATAACACATGAAGAATCTAGGCAGTGAGTATTTGGGTATCCATTGTGCAATTACTTCAATTTTTCAGTATATTTGAAAATTCTACTTATACAATATTGGGCAAAAAAGCTAGTCTGGTCTACTGAAACAAATAATACATTATATGTTAATTTAAAAAAAGCTGGTCTGGACTAGAATAGTTCCACTCTATCAGGTGAGTAAACATAAAACATGAACCTCAGCTTCTGTGATTAGAATTACATTGTTTTTGGTTGTGTTTTTGTTTATCTCAAGGTCCAAACTTATTCCCCTGACTCAACCTTGGACAGGGTAGAGTACCAAGCCACTGAACCTGACTGCATCTTCTGTAGCACCCTCTGTAAACCACACCCATCCCAAGAGAAAGTCTGTAACTAGGCACTTTCTGATGTCCAACTTTAAACTTTTCTCTGTTCATCCAGTGGATGGATGGATGGGCAGATGGATGGATAGATGTAGATGTAGATACAGATAGATTTTTATCTAGATTTACATCTGTCTACATCTTTTTCTTCTTTCGTTTTGCAAAATGCCCATGTTATAGGTTGTTATGGATTTTTTTTTTCAAATAATAGGTGGCCTAGGGATGAGAAAATAGGTTATTTGAAAATAACTGAAACTGGCCCATTGAACCTATTCAGAAACAACCTGTAAATGAAGTAACAACATGAACTAATCTTAGCC